ACGAACTTATGATAGCGGCAGCTCAAGGAGAAGACCAAGGAGTCTACCGTTGCACGGCGAAGAACGAAGCAGGGGTGTCAAATGCAGAAAGAAGAGTTTTCGTCGATGGTAATCGCGCTTTATTAATTTCTATGTTAGCAACAAGTTGGCGTATTAAACGTTCTAAGTAATTTATTGGATACTGTTTTCTTGGAACTTTAAATTTTCATAACATCACTGCGTTATGCTGTCGCCTTAAACTTAAACTGATAAGCAGGCGTTCTAGTTCATATTTTCTAAGATTTTTTTTGCACTCGCATCTCATATTGTGACACTGAACTCTTTCACAATTAGAGTTTTGTGCCCACCGTTTCTTGGAATTTCATGTAAGAGTAAAGTACGACTAGTGGGGGTACATCCTCTACTTTTAGGATTGCATTTACGGTGCTTCTGACGTCTGAGTGCTCGAAGGTAGCTTTCTGAAATTTTAAAACCAAATGAGGTTTGATCTGCACTGATAATGTGTGGACTAGCAACAGCGCTGCTGCGATGACTGCTGCCGCAATTTGGTTTGAATTTATCGATGTACCTCTTGAGCATAACATCGATTCTCTTCCGGCAATAGGTCAGAGTGCTGACCTTACATAAGAAATCATGGATAACTAGCAGTTGATCACAGAGAAATTATCTATCTCACTTGTAACCATGGTTTTGAGCTTCAGCACTCATTTACCACCTGGTAACGGTATAATTGTGCGTAATAAATTAGTATTGCAGTTCGCCCCTCAATGCCTTACCGCCAGAGATATCCTCAGTTGGTAGTGGACTACCAGTAGCTTACATGCTAACTCGACTTTGGGATTTGGGACTATATCGAGCAGTTTAACTATTCGCTTGCATGACAAGACACGCTTCAAAGCAACTCGATTGTCTTATAACCGAGTTTCTGCCTTGTCCATGGCAAGAATCATCGAAATGTCACTAAGGCAGATTTGAAACGGTTTTACTTCTGAAAAGGAAGGAATCCTGCATATCACAACGTATTATCAATGCTTTGTTAACTTCTTGATCGTTGACCACGTCTACCTGAAACGCACATAGAGCAATAGCCACGCTTAGCGGCTAGCTAATACATTATTGTGAAGAAGATGCGTGAAAAGTAGAATTGTTTAAAAACGTTATGTTTATTGTATTGTAGTTCCAAAAGAGAAGTTTCGTGTTGTGTCAGTCGAGTGTGATGCAGAAGGTAGGCCAAAAAAGACGACGTATGTGCCGGCGAGGGGTGACAATCCCGATCTCAATCGCCCGTTATTGCCATGGGATGAAGAAAACATCGATCTGCCGGCTAACGGCACAAATGGCATCATTATTAAATGTCTGACAAACTACGAGCAGCGGAAAAGTCGTGAAGACGTGTTGCCAAGTAATTCACCCACTGTCTGATCTACATGATGTCTGATGTACAAAACATATTTCAGCCTCACCGCTGCTAACCGAGTTTCCGAAGAGTCAACAGGTCCGCGTAGGCGATTCGGTCACTCTCAGCTGTAGTGCAATCGGTAACCCTGTGCCCGAAATTCTGTGGATGTACAAGCGGAAACTCATTCGAGGTACTCAGGTTGTTTCGCAACTTTCGGCTTGCGATGTTAGGTTTTGTGCAGGAGCGATGACAGCAGATCGAGGTCGCAGCCGCATCATGTTGACCAACGTCGGCCATAGCCAAGCCGGCCGTTACACGTGTCTCGCGCGTAACAGACACGGCTCGACGCAGGCATTCGCCACAGTAAAAGTGAACGGTAAGACTGCAGCAAGCCGTTGCCGTGTACACATGTGCCTATGTCTGCAGGTGTCCCCCGTCAGCTAAGG